TATAATAAGACTAGCCTACTAATCATTACCAGGCCAATAATGACTTTTTAAAATGAATCAATATAGCATTTGTTATGAAGAAACAACCGCCTGCACATTTAGAACAAATAGCTACAACATGCCACAGTTGTAATAGAAATCTATAGGGCAATATCTATTCCCTTAACAGATTATCTAATATAAATTCTACAACAAGTTAGACTAAATTGTACACAATAAATAAGCCTACAATAAAATGTGATAAATTCTAGTAAAGGTGGTCATGAGATTTTAATATACGTTAGTGCTGGTTCAAGAATGTTTTCTCGTCTTTTCATCAGTCTTTTTTAGATACTGTTCGACTTTCTCCATAGCATTTTAAAGTGGCTGGTTCTCTAAATAATTCAAATAGATCACATATTTGACCATCAGCATGCTCATGACAAGAATAGCATGTATAGTTATCTTTATTGAAGTTAATTAGGTTTAAATCGCCGTCATGCATGGATGAATGATATTTTTGCAATTTTACACATAATAATCCACGATGATCACATTACACAAAACTGAAATTGCACGTCAAAATAACACATTATCAATATTTTTAGAGACCCCCCAAAATTTCACAAATCCCGTTTTCAGGGGAGCCCATGTCTTATTAAGGGGAGCCGAGCTCCCCCTAGCTCCCCCGTAGTTCGCACCCTGGTTATATCCCCCCTATCCCCCCCGTAAACTACGCCCCTGCACACCTCGGTCTGCTCTCCCCCGCTCTGCACCACTGTCCTCTTCACAACTTTAGAGAAACCGTCAGCCTCATCCACAGTGACAGCTTCCTGCTGCGGACCCTCCAGCATCACTTCCTCTCTCTCTACTCCATCTGCTGACACATACTTACGGATGACTTTCCTTGTTATCTGTGTTGAGAAAATTACACAAGGATGGAAATGATCAAGGTTATCATATAAACTTTTAAAATAAGGTATACTGTCTGTGCTACCATCTTCAAGCATTTTAAGAAAATAATAATGAAAAAGTGTTTTGTGTGTTTGCAATATGTATCAAATTCTCTTCAAAAGGATTGCAGTCATTCGGTTTGTGTGAAGCTTGAGGTTGAGACTAAAGGCCCGTTCAAGAACGATAACTATATAAGCATCCACACTAGCGGACAATATCGTCTGTTTATTCTAAGCACACACGTCTGCTGCTTTATATAACCAAGCTTGTTATAGCAGGATTGATTCTGATTGGGATGTTTTTATCATTCATCAGCTGGAAAAAAAAATGGTATAGTTTCTCTGTGCCTTTATCATTAAAGCTATGGTGTGGTCAATCACAGGAAAAAAAATGCATGACACTAAAATAATCCAATAAACATTAAGTTAAGTACCTAAAATATCAACTAAAACACTCCAGTTTTCATAATTCATTACAGCAATAAACACTATTTATAGTACGTTTGAACTATTTAAAAGATTTATAATCAGAATGTTCATTGTAAATGATAAGGCAATTTATATTTCTTTAAAATAGCATACATTGTTTTACAGGCAACCTCCAATTAATCATTTAAAAGGATTATGCTGCAGGGTTTTTACATTACCAACTGTAAGCAGTTGTTGGGCAAAATCCCTGAATCCGTGTAAAGACACAGAAAAGATGAAAGTTAAAGCATTTACCTTTTTGACCACCATGTTCCCATACTCGTCAGTGTATTTCTCTTCTGTCACAGTCTGAGGAGGGATTTCAGGCATCTCGTCACCCTAAAAAATATAATACATACATGTAACAACATTAATTAATGTGTTTGTAAAAGTTGTTTTAATTGAACATGTTATTGACAAAGAAATGTGTTCTGTTTCATTAATGAGACACATTAAGTTTTTCTGTAAGAAGATAATGGAAATCGACTCCACACATATTCAAATTGATATACAGTCAAATTGTTTTTTTTTTACTTAGTATATATTCACTTATAATTCATATAATAATTTTTTTTTTCAAACTATGAGATTGAAAATGTCAATGGAAAGTCCTGAGACAAATACTTTTTATGGGAAATTAAATATAATGTTACTGTTTAATGCATATGTTTATTTATATATAATTGTACCAACAAATGAAAACACTTTTGTTCAATATAACACCAAAATATGGAAATGGGGGTCCAATGACACAAGCGCGCACACCCAAAACAGGTACCTGAATTACAACTCTGCGCCGCACCACCCTGGTGGTCAACACCTCCTCCTCTGAACTATCAGACAGCAAACCTAGTTCTTCAGCTATTTCCTAAGAGTAGCAGAGATGCATTGCGGTCGCATGTCTTAAGTACTGTCGTATATCTCGTATACTTGCACGTCACACCATGCAAAGCCTGCACTCTGGAAGTTCTTTTTCCATGCAGTCAAGAAAAATATTGCTGCTTGTCAATTGTCACATTATATCCAACACTTTAAGTGTAAGCAATGGGGTGCACACATATAAACTATGATGATTATTTTTAATCAAAACACCAAATATTAGTTTGCTGGTATTGAAATGTTTTAAAATGTTCCATTAGGGCTTGAGTAAGTTTGTTAGCATAGGCCAGGGAGAGACAACACTCAGAAACTGAGCGCAAACATCATGCTAGATTGCTTACCCTCCCTAGAGAGTCATCATCATCATCATAATCTGCTCCCTCTATTGTAGGTAGCTCTTCAGCGAATGAATGTTCACCTGTATAATCATAAGGGAAATCCTTCTCCTCACCAACCTCACAAGTGTATTCATCCTCTGGCTCAAGAACTATGGGTAGGTCCTCACTGGCCCAGGATAAAGGCCGCTCATCCTTTTTCAACTGTGTGTGCTCTCTAAGTTTAGAGATGCCTGTCAGATATTCAGGGCTGCTTGATAAAGATGGAAGTTCCTCAACATGGTAAATTGTTTGAGGAACATCTAAAACTTCTGATGATCCGACCTCTGGCTCAGATGTATCAGAAAACCTTTGTCGGCAATCAAAAAACTCAGCATCTGACTCAATGCTATCTGCATGAACAGGTCTTGGCCTGGCTCTAAGATTTAGACTGTAAAGTGGAGAGTCAGCATCTAAAACTGCAGCGGCATCTAACTGCATCTGGTCACCTGTCAGCTCCTGAGTCACTTCCAGAGTACAAGGTGACATAGCAGCTACAAGTGGATAAGTTCCAGGAAAAACTAAACTTAGTTCAGGCTTATCACCACCTAAAGATGGTGATGCCTGTTCAAATTTAGAGACGACACATTTAAAATCTGACGAAAGCTGGACAGTCCCTGCAGCACAAGATATTCTCTTGCCTAGAAATTTGTGGGACTCTGGAGAATTCCCTTGATCAGAAGAAGATGTGTTAAATATAGGTGAAATGGGTGTGCCTGTTGATGGTGTTTTCACAGAACTTGAGGGCAAATTTTTATAATCACGTGATTCAAGACCCAAACTAAATGCAGGGGAATCAATTCGATTTAGTTCAACTCTTCTGTGAGAGTCTTTAAGATGAAACTGAAAAGAATTTACTTCTTGCAATCCATTTAATGCTTTAGTTTCTTCAGGTGATGAATCAGGAGTAGATTTGTGGGCCTCCAAATCAAAGACAGGCTGAGATCTGTTGTGCTCAGGTATGTTGGAGACACATGTGGCTAAATATGCCTCTTTTGATGATTCACTGGTCATCAAGGATGCTGTTAAATTTAAACTTTTTGAAACTGATGGTGTATCTCCTTTTCTTAGACTTGAATCTTTCACTTGAGGCACTAAATTAATTTCCTCTGAGACACTGTCCTGTGCAAAATGAAAGGAAAGAAAACAATGTTTCTCCCTATTTGTATAAATGACATAAAGCAAATCCAACAGATTTTGCATTCCATTGCATGGAAACACTGAAAAAAAATGACATGCCTTAACATCAATTCAGACATCCCTTAATACTACGATTCAAACATGCAGTTGAGAATAAGTCTCATTACAAACAATGCAGTCTTAAAATTACATCAAAATAATTATGGTAAATTAGTAAACATTCTCAAAACTGACTATTATCTTGTAAGCTGCACACTCCTCAAGAGTTGTCCATTTAGTATTGATTTGTTAGTAGATCAAGAACTGTGAAAATCTGTTTTAGGGCAGATCTGACACTACATTCCTCTTGGTTCATACATTGTTATGAACACACAAGATTCACAGCAGCATGCTTATCTTCTTACCCTTTTTTTGTCATCCTTAGGGGCTAGTTTTCTTAAATCATGTCCTAGATCTTCTTTTTGTTGCTGTGGACTTTCCATGTGTCTCTTTTCATCTATTTTATGGATTTTGAGGCCTTTGCTAGTTTCTTCATTTGCAGATTCACTTGTTGCTGTGATTATGTCCTGTTCTTCACAGTAAGTAATTGTCTTTGTTACCCTTTGTGTGTCCTTTTGTGTTTGCTCGGATGCTATATCATGAGATGCATTTGGTTGTAGTCCATCATCGAATGAATGCTCAATCCTAATTTCAGAAACAGATGGAAGCTCCTCTATTTCACTTGGAGACTCCATTTGCTCCATGCATTGTTCAAATGTCACTAGATTCAGTAAAGCAGGATCAATTTTGAGGACAGGTAAATCTTCCTTAATCTCATCAATGTCAGAAAATGACAAATCATTCAAATTCTCATAAAACTCATCTTCAGATTCAATTATCACTGATTCAGGTGATTCAGGTTGATAAAATGTCTCACAAACTAAAGGTTCTGGAGTAATAGTTTCTGTTAGTGCTGTGTCTAATGTTGCTGCTTCGGGTGATGGGTTTCGCACATCTGTTTCAAGACAGAACATTTGAGGTGACAAAGATCTAGAATCAGTGTCTGAGAAATCTGAGATAGATGATAAAGGTCTGTTTTCAGACATGATCCATTGTGGCAGTGGGTACCATGATGAGTATGATTCAGGATACACAGAGTCCATATAAGAACTTTGATCATTACTCATTGAAGGGGACAGTGGACTCAAAATGTATTTGTGTTGCATGATTACCTCGCTAGATTCAGATGTATGTTCATTTGGAACTGGTGATGGTGTTGAGTATTCAGGTATAGGTGAATCAGGTGAAAGCCTTTGAAATTCATTTACCGAAAAAATCGTCTCAGGGGATGAGGGTCGACTTTCGAACAAAAACTCTGCGCATGGTAATGAAGGTCTGTGCTCAGGAATTGGAGATTCAGGAGAGAGTCGCCAGTACTCATTTATAGATGTATATGATTCTGGTGAAGAGGCTCTCCTATCTGAAGAGTCCATTAGACATGCATTTAAACTTGTACAATAAAACAAAGAATCAGTGGAAAATGCTTGATTTTTTACAAATAAATCAAATGATTCTGTTTGTACATGTGTTTGCAGAGAACTGGCATCAAAAGGTGAGGCTGTTTCACTATAAGATATAGCATTGTTGGAAATGTCATAATTGTGTTGCTCAGTGCATTCATTATTTGCCTTCTTTTTACATCCAGCATACTCAAACACACCTGGCTTTGGACAGAAAGTTTCACCTCTATATTGAGGATCATACAAATGGGAGATTAATGCTAAGGGAACAGCTTTGTACACAAGTTTATATTGAGGCACCATTCTGAAAGTCTTGTTTAATGGCAGATATGTCACAATGTTGGATAGCTCTTGGCCAAGTAATTTTTGGCTTTGATCATCAGTGTGATTATTTTCTATTTCTAAATGACATTGATCCACAGGAGATATTTCACCTGATGCAGGAGATAAGGGTCTATTTTCAGTCCATGTAACATCCTCAGATGCAAAGCTCGCCATGTAAAATTCTACATCAGATACAATTGATTCTAGGGAGGATGATCTGTATGTGGTTTTTGGGGCAACATTTACATACACTGATGACTTATAGTCATAAATAGGTGAGTCTGGTGATAATGGTCTTTTTTCATTCAAGGATATGATTGATTCAGGGGAGGAGGGTCTCTGTTCAGTAGCTTGAGATGCAATTGCCCAAAGTTCAATGTCTGTCTCTGATGTAGGTGACTCAGATGACTCTGATTGGTGTACATGTATTGCTGATATTTTATGTATACAAGAAAACTGTGGAACAAAGTCTGGAGGTAATGCCCTATACTTTTCCAATGATGTAAAGAAATCTGGAGATGCATGATCTACCACAGACATTGCTGTATGAGGTGACATTTCTCTGTAATCACTTAGTGAGTCAGGGGAAACTGGTCTAGGCTCAATTTCTGATATTACTGATTCAGGAGAGTTAGGCCTTTGCCCTATACTAAGGTCTGATGGATATAATTCATTTTCATCACTCAAAGAGACTGAGGAAGTTGATATAGAATCTGATTCTGGTATGAAAAATGTGTATGTGGATGGTGTGAACTCAGGAATAGGTGAATCGGGGGACAGTGGTCTGTTTTCTGTTACCAATGTCATTGATTCTGGTGAGGATGTTCTAAGATCCATCAGCGAGTCATCAAATACATCTGTCTGCATTTCTATTTCTGATAACATCGTCTGATTAGATGTTGACCTGTATCCTGTTGCCATTGTTGGTTCAAAGTGTGAAGCATAATACTGAAGTATTGGAGAATCTGGCATGGGTATAGGTGAATCAGGGGAGAGAGACCTGCCTTCATTTATAGATTCTGGTGAACCTTCTGAGGTTAAAACATTAAGTTCCTCCTCTGACAATCCAGATTTAGGGGATGAGGACATATAATCTGATAAAGACCTATAATCTGGAACTGATTCAAAGAGTGCTGGGTAATACTGTGGCACAGGTGAGTCAGGTGAGAGCAATTTAAAGTCATTAACTAAGGTTTCAGAGTCTGCTGAGGATGCCCTAAAATAAGCCAAATTATATTTAATCTCACCTGAGGTGGGTTCATTCTCTGATAGTAAATCCACTGAAGGAAGCCTATTCTCACATTTCGATGCACTGATCTCTAACTCATATAACTCATAACCAACATCTGATGTCATAGACTCAGGCGAGGATGACCCATGTCCTTTTATTGGCCTTGGTTCAATGAATAATTCTGAGTAATGTGGTATAGGTGAGTCAGGGCATCTACATTCATTCATGGACACAATTGACTGTGGAGAAGAGCCTCTGATAAACAGGTCTTCAAAAGAAGGTTCATATTCTGTAGTCCCTGAGCACAGTGATTGAGGCGAACATGATCCACATCCTAATACTGGCAAAGTAATCTCAGAGAATAACACACTGAATTGAGGTACAGGTGAGTCAGAGGACAGTGGTATACCCCCAGTTTCTGATATTATAGAATGGGGAGAGTCAGGTCTTTGTTCTGAAATAAAGTCAGTTTGATAAAATGTATTTTCATCATCCACACAGTCCAATTCTGGGGAAGTTGGACAGGAGCCTGTCTCTGGAATGATAAATGATTGTGTGGATAGTGTGAAGTCAGGAAAAGGTGAATCAGGGGAGACTGCTCTGTTTTCATCAGTTGATGCAATTGACTCCAAAGAGGATCTTCTAAGATCAATCACCAAGTCATCAAATTCATCGGTCTGCATATAATTTCCTGATAGCACTGATTCAGGGGATATTGTTGTGTAACCTGTTACCATTGTTGGTTCAAAATGAAAGTTATAATATTGAGATATTGGAGGATCAGGGGATAAAGATCTAAAGTCAGGTCTTTCATCATTTATAGATTCTGTTGATTCTGGAGAAGAATCTAGGGTAAAAACATTTAATTCACATTCCTCATCTGATAATGCAGATTCAGGGGATGAGGACCTATAATCTGTTACAAAAACTGATTCAAAGACTGCTGGAAAATACTGTGTTATAGGCGAGTCTGGAGACAGGGGTCTACATTCATTCATGGACCCATTTGATTGTGGAGAACACCCTCTAATGTCTTTTAAAAGCATGGCAGAGTCAGGTGACATGGGTCTCCATTCAGGCAAGGAGTCTGGAGAAAGTGGTCTTTTGTCAGTATCTGATAAAATTGAATCAGGGGAATCTGGTCGATATTCTATAGTTAGCAAATCTTCAATGTAAGGTTCGCATTCTGTATTCTCTGAGCACAGTGACTGAGGTGAACATGATCTAGGTCTTGTTACTGGCAAAGTACTCTGATGGAATAATGCAATGAAATGAGGTACAGGTGAGTCAGGGGACAGTGGTCTAATCTCAATCTCTGATATTAGAGACTGAGGGGAGTCAGATCTTTGCTCTGGATAAAGGTCAGACTGACACAATTCATTTTCAACATCCAAAGTGACTGATTCTGGAGATGTTGGTCGGGAGCCTGAAAGTGCCATTATAAATGTGTGTGTGGCCACTTTGAACTCAGGAATAGGTGAATCAGGGGACAGAGGTCTGTTTTCATTGAGTGATGTGATTGACTCTGATGAGGACCTTCTAAGGTGAATTACCAAGTCATCAAACACTTCTGTCTGCACATCTATTTCTGATAGTATTGATTCAGGGGATGGTGATAAGTAACTTGTAACCATTGTTGGTTCAAATTGAAAGGAATAATACTGAGATATTGGAGAATCAGGGGATAAAGATCTAAAGTCAGGTCTTTCATCATTCATAAATTCTGTCGATTCTGGAGAAGAATCTAGGGTGAAAACATTGAATTCACATTCCTCATCTGATAATGCAGATTCAGGGGATAAGGACCTATAATCTGTTAGATAAATTGATTCAAAGACTGCTGGAAAATACTGTGGTATAGGCGAGTCTGGAGATAGGGGTCTACATTCATTCATGGACCCATTTGACTGTGGAGAAGACCCTCTAATGTCTATCAAAAGCATGGCAGGGTCAGGTGACATGGGTCTCCATTCAGGCAAGGAGTCTGGAGAAAGTGGTCTTTTGTCAGTGTCTGATAAAATTGAATCAGGGGAATCTGGTCGATATTCTATCATTAGCAAATCTTCAATGCAAGGTTCACATTCTGTATTCTCTGAGCACAGTGACTGAGGCGAACATGATCTAGGTCTTGTTACTGGCAAAGTACTATGAGGGAATAATGCCATGAATTGAGGCACAGGTGAGTCAGGGGACAGTGGTCTAATCTCAATCTCTGATATTATAGACTGAGGAGAGTCCGATCTTTGCTCAGGATAATGGTCGGACTGACACAATTCATTTTCAACATCCAAAGTGACTGATTCTGGAGTGGATGGTCGAGAGCCTGTAAATGGCATGATAAATGTGTGTGTGACTATTGTGAACTCAGGAATAGGTGAATCAGGGGACAGAGGTCTGTTTTCATTAAGTGATGTGATTGACCCTGATGAGGGCCTTCTAAGATCAATCACTATGTCATCAAATAAATCGTTCTGTTCATCTGTGTCTGATAGCATTGATTCGGGGGACAGTGATACGTAACTTGTTGCCATTGTTGGTTCAAAATGAAAGGCATTATACTGACTTATTGGAGAGTCAGGGGACAAATATCTAAAGTCAAACTTTTCATCATTTATAGATTCTGTTGATTCTGGAGAAGAATCTAGGGTGAAAACATTTAATTCCCATTCCTCTTCTGATAATGCAGATTCAGGGGACGAGGACCTATAATCTGTTACAGAAACTGATTCAAAGACTGCTGGAAAATACTGTGTTATAGGCGAGTCTGGAGATAGGGGTCTACATTCATTCATGGACCCATTTGACTGTGGAGAAGACCCTCTAATGTCTATCAAAAGCATGGCAGGGTCAGGTGACATGGGTCTCCATTCAGGCAAGGAGTCTGGAGAAAGTGGTCTTTTGTCAGTATCTGATAAAATTGAATCAGGGGAATCTGGTCGATATTCTATAGTTAGCAAATCTTCAAGGTAAGGTTCATATTCTGTATTCTCTGAGCACAGTGACTGAGGTGAACATGATCTAGGTCTTGTTACTGGCAAAGTACTCTGATGGAATAATGCACTGATACAATTGAATCAGGGGAATCTGGTCGATATTCTATAGTTAGCAAATCTTCAAGGTAAGGTTCATATTCTGTATTCTCTGAGCACAGTGACTGAGGCGAACATGATCTAGGTCTTGTTACTGGCAAAGTACTATGAGGGAATAATGCCATGAATTGAGGCACAGGTGAGTCAGGGGACAGTGGTCTAATCTCAATCTCTGATATTATAGACTGAGGAGAGTCAGATCTTTGCTCTGGATAAAGGTCGGACTGACACAATTCATTTTCAACATCCAAAGTGACTGATTCTGGAGTGGATGGTCGAGAGCCTGTAAATGGCATGATAAATGTGTGTGTGGCTATTGTGAACTCAGGAATAGGTGAATCAGGGGAAAGAGGTCTGTTTTCATTAAGTGATGTGATTGACTCTGATGAGGACCTTCTAAGGTCAATCACTATGTCATCAAATAAATCGTTCTGTACATCTGTGTCTGATAGCATCGATTCGGGCGATAGTGATACGTAACTTGTTGCCATTGTTGGTTCAAAATGAAAGGCATTATACTGACGTATTGGAGAATCAGGGGACAAAGATCTAAAGTCAGGTCTTTCATCATTTATAGATTCTGTTGATTCCGGAGAAGAATCTACGGTGAAAACATTTAATTCCCATTCCTCTTCTGATAATGCAGATTCAGGGGATGGGGCCCTATAATCTGTTACAGAAACTGATTCAAAGACTGCTGGAAAATACTGTGTTATAGGCGAGTCTGGAGATAGTGGTCTACATTCATTCATGGACCCATTTGACTGTGGAGAACACCCTCTAATGTCTATAAAAAGCATGACAGAATCAGGTGACATGGGTCTCCATTCAGGCAAGGAGTCTGGAGAAAGTGGTCTTTTGTCAGTATCTGATACAATTGAATCAGGGGAATCTGGTCGATATTCTATAGTTAGCAAATCTTCAAGGTAAGGTTCATATTCTATATTCTCTGAGCACAGTGACTGAGGTGAACATGATCTAGGTCCTGTTACTGGCAAAGTACTCTGATGGAATAATGCAATGAAATGAGGTACAGGTGAGTCAGGGGACAGTGGTCTAATCTCAATCTCTGATATTATAGACTGCGGAGAGTCAGATCTTTGCTCTGGATAAAGGTCGGACTGACACAATTCATTTTCAACATCCAAAGTGACTGATTCTGGAGTGGATGGTCGAGAGCCTGTAAATGGCATGATAAATGTGTGTGTGGCTATTGTGAACTCAGGAATAGGTGAATCAGGGGAAAGAGGTCTGTTTTCATTAAGTGATGTGATTGACTCCAAAGAGGATCTTCTAAGATCAATCACCAAGTCATCAAATACATCGGCCTGCATATAAATTTCTGATAGCACTGATTCAGGGGATATTGATGTGTAACCTGTTACCATTGTTGGTTCAAAATGAAAGTTATAATATTGAGATATTGGAGAATCAGGGGATAAAGATCTAAAGTCAGGTCTTTCATCATTTACAGATTCTGTTGATTCTGGAGAAGAATCTAGCGTGAAAACATTTAATTCACATTCCTCATCTGATAATGCAGATTCAGGGGATGAGGACCTATAATCTGTTACAGAAACTGATTCAAAGACTGCTGGAAAATACTGTGGTATAGGTGAGTCTGGAGATAGTGGTCTACATTCATTCATGGACCCATTTGACTGTGGAGAAGACCCTCTAAGTGATGTGATTGACTCCGATGAGGACCTTCTAAGATCAATCATCATGTCATCAAATAAATCGTTCTGCATATCTGTGTCTGATACTATTGATTCAGGGGGTGAGGATCTGTAAAAAGTTGTAAGTTCAAAGTGAGCATAATATTGAGGTACTGGAGAATCTGGTGCAGATATTGGTAAATCAGGAGAAAGAGGTCTGTGTTCATCATATGATTCTAGAGAAGCTACTGGAGTAAAAATATCTACTTCATATTCCTGTTCTGACAATGCAGATTCAGGGGATGAGGACCTAAAATCCTTAAAAGGAGTTGTTTCAAAGGATGTGAAAAATTGTGGCAATGGTGAGTCTGGTGAGAGCAATCTAAACTCATTCAGTGAGGTGTCCGATGCTGGTGTGAATGCCCTGAAACAATTTTCTACAGTGAACAGGTCTTCCAAGTAAGGTTCATATTCTGTATTTTCTGAGCACAGTGAATGAGGTGAACAGGATCTATGACCGGTTACTGGAAAGGTACTCTGAGAGAAAAATCCACTGAATTCAGTTACAGGTGAGTCAGGTGATAGGGGCCTGAACTCATTAACTGATGATACTGATTCAGGAGACAAGGGTCTACACTCAGTTTCTTCAAGAGAGTCATCGAGCACAAGTGATTCTGGGGATATTGGTCTAAATTGATGATGTGACGAAAGTGGTTTGTGTTGACTTTCAAAATTCAGTTCAATCGGAGGTAAATCCTGACTATTCACTGTATACTTGACAGGTAGGAATTGTTCAAAAGAATCGTGAATTTTGGATTCTGTAGAGGGTGGGTATATTATTTGCTGACTATGTAAAGTTGTTGAAACATCTCCAGTGTTGTCCAAAACAACAAGCTTGGAGCCGCCTTTGTAGTGTGGATCAAATATTTTGGCAATACGATTGCTGAGCATAGCTTTCGACATAAAAGTATCCTTTGGTTTTGGCAATTCTCTCATGCTTTGATCTTCATTGTATACTGATTCAGTGGACTCAGTAGCTAATATTTGAGTGTATGTTTTTTCTATTGGCTCGCCTTCAAAAGTAACACTTTCCACTACAACCGTGGACAAAGGAACATATTCAGGCTCTAAAATGAATGATTCTGGGGATTGAGATCTTGGCTCACAGATCAAGGGCTCACAATGCGAATATTCAATATCAGATGTTTCTAATTCAGGAGACGAGTCTCTTTGGCTCCCAAATCGGATGACATTAAAGTGTAATGTGGTTTTATATACAGGCACAGGTGAATCAGGTGAAAGGGGTCTGTGTTCATTTATCGATGTAAATGATTCAGGAGATGATATTCTGGTTTCAGGCAATACTTCTGATATTGGCTTGTTTTCATTATCTGAGAGGCCTGACTCAAATGAATCTGATCTATACAGTTTAGTGGGTATGAAATTTTCCCACACTGTTTGAGTAAAGCTGGGAAGAGGAGAATCAGGGGAAAGGCATCTCTGGTTATTGAGAGATGCAACTGATTCAGGGGATGATGGACGACTTCCAGCTAGACACTCTAATGATATCAGATCACAGTCTATGTCTGAAAGTTCAGATTTCAGTGATGGTGATCTGTATCCTGTCATGAGTGCTAAAGAGTCATTTTGAACTTCTGTTGCAAAACATGCAATTGGGGAATCAGGGGGAAGTACTCTATATTCATTTACAGATGCTGTTGATTCTGGAGATGATGGTCTTAATTCAGTCAAAAATGCATAAGGAGATGGAGTATAGCTTTCAAAACTTTTTTCAGTGGAGAGTTCGCTATCTAAAATGTCAGAACCGATGGACATAGGAGACCAAGATCTGTTTGATTCAGGTGATAATGATCGGCAGAAAATCACAGAACCAGGTGAAATAGGTCTTTCTGTGTCATCAGTCACCTCCAAATTATATGCTCCTAGTGAATCTTCTGTATATCCTGTAAGAGGAACCATTTTTTCTCCAGTTGCATGTAATGTTTTGTATTCTTCAACATGTATTGTGAATTCAGGTGTGTAATTTTCAAAAGTTGGCAAAGGCGTAGCTGGCCTAAAATCAGGCAATGGAGAGTCAACAGAGAGAAGAGTGCAGTCATTCACTGAAGTTACAGATTCAGGTGAAGATACTCTTAATTCAGCCATTAATATGCATGAGTCTGGTGAAGACGGTCTATATTCAAATGGTACTGGTGAGTCTAAAGGCAAAGAATCCACTGATTCTGGTGATGATCTATATTCAGATGAAATCATTCCAAGGTTATCAAAATATTCAAAATCTAAATCTGGTGACAATGATCTTAGCTCAACTGGGAATGTTAAAGATACAGGTGTAAGGGGTCTACACTCCACAACTTCAACTGATATTGAGGTGATATATTCCGTTTTTGTGCATTCAGCATCTGTTGGTTTGGTTAGAGTGTTTGGCATGGCTATTTCAACCCTTGCTTCTGAAGAACCAGAATCAGCTATTGGAAGTGATAACATATGTGGCTGCTTAGTAACTGAATCAAGTGACATTTGATTGAGTGTAGAAGGGGTAATCTTCTCTGTAATGTCTGTTCCACTTACAAGTGCAAAAGACATGCTAGGTTGTTGAAGAGGACCGGAAATTATTTGAGTTATGCTTTGTACTCTTTCAGTGAACAATTCTGTGATTCCAAACTGATTAACATCACTATCTTTGGAAACATCTGAAGATTCTTGTACACAGACAGGAATGATGTTACAATTCCCTTCATCCACAGAAGAAATCTCATTTTCAGGGAACCTATAAGTCTCTACAATTACACTATTTTCACATAGCTCGGGTAAGACATAACTTTCACCAAAAAGGGTTCTATAGAATCTGTCAGAAACTTCCTCAACATGGCGCTGTATATACTCCTCACTCTCACTTGGTTTCTTTAGAAGTGCAACCTCATATTTATTCGATGAGGTAGAAGCAATTTCTGTCTTTTCATTTGATGGGGATGTAAAGAAATTAATTGCACTGGAGACTGGTGAGGTAATATAATCTTCAGAATCTTGCTTGAGTTCCACAGACAACTCATTGAAATCTGGCTCGGCATTCTCAGATTCCAACAGGGTGTGCCCAAAATCTGACAAGGTTGTTTGTCTCTGTCTCAGCTTGTACTCTTCAATTGAATTAATGGGTAGGACATTCTGTTCATCATCCTGTTGGGTGGATACTGGGATAAATTGACCCCCAGTCGCTCCTAACTCTTGGAGAGGGTCGTTCACAGTTTCATGTGTATTGTCTGATGATTCATTGGGAATAGTACCACCTTTGCAAACTGTGCCATAAACGTGAGACTGCAGTCTCCAGGGAACAGCTTTGTACAGGGTAAAGAAGGGACTTACTCTTTTGATAGTGCCAGGGAATTGTTGTCTCAGTCCAACCATATCAACGGAACTATGTGCTGAGGCTCCGACCACCCTGACAAATAGAGAATCAAATTTAAATCACTTGTTACAGTATATTATTAATACATTTTTAATGGTATAGGTCAGGAATAGAATTAACTTACTCTGAACCCATCTCTTTGTCTGTCAGCAACCTCTCTTTTTGGGTATCATCAAGGGAAGATACATTGCAGGAGAGATCCTCGACAGATGCCACCAGAGGCCCAAGTTCTGATCCTTTTTGTGTGACTTCTGCTCGCCGACCTGGCCTGGGGCTGTCCATGTCCTCCTGTAGGGCTGAAAAACCTGCAAGGCCAACATAGTTTCTGTTGAAATGTTGTAAAATCATTGTAAAAGTGACTCTGATCATCTGCTGGGAAAGATAAATAATATAATGTGACTTTCTAAAAAAAACACCAACCTAATAAGTTTCAAGTCATTATCATCCATACCTTCACTATGATCCAATGATATGGTTTGCTCAATTTCTGCATAGGTGTGTGATGACTGGTCTTGACTGAACTGGATGATTTTTGTTTCGATGAGATGAACAATGTCCATACGATTTATTTTTGTAAGTGTCTTCATCAAAGTGGTCTCTGCTGATAAGCGGAGAGATTATGTTATGCATATTTTTGTCTACTAGAATGCAACTGTCAACCAGACAATGTGATTGATCCTCCATCTTTGGCAGAACCCGCTGCCACAATGACATAACATCGTAATTTGTTTCCTTTTACTATGCACATAACACTGGGCATTACTACATTTCCCCAAGTCAAAAGAGCCCCATGTCTCTATGATGTTCTGGTGGTGAGATACGGCTATTTCATATTACATGTCTGATGGTTATTTTTCACCCAATTTTTCGACCAAATATTATATGTCTGATCACTTAAAAAAGTCATAGCACATATTTCCTAATTTAGTCAATCAGTTTACAACAATGGTGAGTTAAGTGCCAGAATGAAGAAGAAGAAAAAATTAAAGCTACGCTACGGAATATTGTCCTCTCTATTTCCATGATATTGAAACATACAGTTGCATGTTACTTGCAAAATATTTATTTTACATCAGTAGTTTTTTGGCACTTCTGTACAGTGTGGATGAAGATGATGGTTACCCCATGGTTACTGGTGCTATCTGTATCAGAGCAGATTTGTCATGCTGCACCAAGACAGTAATACAATATTCCAACAAAGTCTATATCAGAAAAAAAAGTCATCAGAGCAGGTATCATATCTGCTACTGTGGTTTGGATCTTGTTTTGACACAGGCTCTGTTGCTTTTCCTTTTTGATTACATACTCTCTGGAGTTTGATGTTTTGATGATTCCACAGAGGTCAAAAAGGGTTGCTGTTTAGAACGGTTCATGTTCATCACCAAATAGCTGATTAGTTCAAATTGAATGCTGTTTTGGGTACTGTTTTTTTATGTACTTGCTCAAAAATGTAATTTTGTTTTTAACCAAAAATTTTCCTGCATTCCTGATGCATTTTTTTTTAATCTAATTGTAGAAAGTTTATTGAATTAAAAAGAATTCTGTCTTTTAAGCAGTTGCTGCTGAATTAATTACAGAAAAGTGGATTCAGAAGGATGCTGCACATTGGTGCTGGCTGAGCGGAAAGCTTAATTATTTAAATTTACTAATCTCAGATTTAATAATGTTTGCTATCTGGTGAATAGAGCAATGCAAATTTAGATATAAACTAAAGGAAAACACATGATCAGTAATCTTACCTGTAGCATTTTTGCCCTCCCTTTCTTTCCATAGCCTTATGAGGGCATGGCTTTGGTCTTGTAGAGAATTTGGATTCTCATTTCTTATCTGATTGATCTGTAGCTCACTGAATTCAAGCTCTCGAGCCAATTCTGATTGAACAAAAACGCATTGGTAATAAATCATGTATTTAATTCAGACCAACAAAGTATTATGGAACAAAAGTGTCCTTACTGCAAGGCAATATGTGTTGAAATAAGGTTTACAATAATAAAAAGTAGGCATGACAATTATTGCAAACAAATGCAACTATAATGTAAAAGTATCCCAACCTCTTAAACAATTCTACTATTTTAACCAATAACAACTATGTATTTTCCAGTATTGCTGGGTCACTCTTAAACCGTTTTGAATTTCTGAAAGCTGGTTAATTGATATTCAAAAAAGCCGCTTACCTGACCAGCTGAAACCAAGGTGATCCGCTATTAAAGCCAGACGCCCCTCTTTCCTGTCAGCCTCATCCTGTGGATCTACTGCAAATTCCAGCAAAGCAGCAATAGCCACATAAGCACATAAATATAACGCAATTTTATTTATTTATTTACAATTTATCATTTAATGTTAAAATAAATAAGGTCACTGGCTTTCTCATGTAGAAAATACATCAATGAATATTTTTAACTATACTTTTTAAACCAACATTTCTGACTCATTTTAGATTAATTTCAACTTTCAAGCAATGAGCAAATACTAGGTAAACTATCAATCATGAATAAATACTAAGAATAACTCTCCTAGGATTTGCGAACATTGTAAAGAATGTATCAACAGTATCTCACAACTCATGTTTTAAATTTAACCAATTCTGTCATAATGTAATATGTATAGTGAATATACTGGCGAAAAACACTATAAATACACCCCACTGCATTTGGTGTTATATTAATGTTGAAATTTAAGTCAGATAAAAGGAAAAGAGACAGTCACAAACATAGCCCATACATCAAAGAAGCACCACGAAGAGTTGAAGCATTAGTTACAACACAGAGAAGCAGCACTTTCATCACTGAGGTGCTGAGGCAGATGAGAAAGAGATAATGGGCCCCAAGAGATGGGGGATACCTTGACATCGGACTTTATCAGCAGGGATTCGTTCCATCTGCGTCTCAACAGGGTTGTCCCATCGGGGCCTAATGACCAAGGAATCCTCAGGGAAAGGCATTTGCATGTCAATGAAAGGTTCACTCTCTATTACTGAGGCATTAATTGTACTGCTTTCATCATCAGACAAGGCAGCAGCCTCATGTTTGTCTTTCTCTGCCTGAGCCAAACTCTCCACTACCTTAGCTGCTTCTTGACTAATCTCTTCAAAAAATGCAATGGACTGTTTGTTTGTGTCAGTTGGCCGACCCTTTTTTTGTTTTGCTGGTGTGGAAGTTTGAACTGGCATGCCAGGCTTTCCCCTGACTGGTATTCTTGAAGGAAGTGTCTTAGTTGTGCTGGATAGGTCAGTGCTTGTTGGACGATTCTGGTCCTTTTTGGTTGGTTTCTTGGTGGAATCACTTTCACAGAAGCTCTTGGCTTTGGAAGACTTTGTTAAACTGGAGGTGATGGATCGGCTTGTGTCTGTCTCAGATTTTCTCCTTGATTGAGGTTTTATGGGCAACTTTGACTTCTTGTCCTTGGCATGTTCTACACATTCAGACCTGAGGGAGCTGGCCTTAGCAGGGATTCGGGATTTTGGTTTCTCTTCCACTTTGGAGGTGGACATACCTTTTCTAGCCGTAGATGATAGCGATGCTGCAGTGTAACTTTTAGAGACAGGTTTACTTTGGGATTCTGTCTTTTCAGGGGTTTTGGTTTGTTCTATTACTGAGTGCTGATCTTTTGGGGAGGAATCTGAGGACTCTTGGTCTTGTTGGGAATTAACTGATCTAGTAACTGTTGACACTGCTGTCTGGACATTGGCTATGACATTGTCAGAGGAACCAGGATCAGATACTAAATGTCCCTCACTCATAACTTCGTCTGATTTAACCTCTAACATTGTTTGGTCCTTCTCTAAGGTTTTGGTTGAGGCAGAGTCATCCAATTTGATGGGGGTTTTAGACTTTGAAAAATCTGACTTTGTAGCTGCAGCCAGATTATCCCCAGCAGGAGAATGTACAGATAAATCTGTAGCCTCTTTAAGGAGCTCTTCATCCTCCTCTGCTTTTATTTGCAAAGAGAGGTTGCAACCAATCTTATTCTCAGCATCATTGGATGCTCTAACAGGTTCATTACCTTCATCTTCAGCTATGCCCTCTACAATGGGTTGCTCTATTTGGTAAAATGCAAACCCTTCCTCCTCGTAACTCCTTTTTGTCATGTCTATCGCACCACTTCTTGTCATCTCAAAAAGTTTTCCTTCTTGGAAAAGGAAAGGATTTTGTTCACTTGTTGGTGTACCCTCCTCAGTGGGTGTCCTTGCTGGTGTTGTGTCTGGAGTCGCCCCTTGGGAATGCCGATCTACAGCCAGACCCAAGATCTTTTGCTCTTCCTCTTTGACTCTTGCTGCAAATGCATCATCATCTTCTCGCATTGAATTCCAGGCGTCTGTCTCTGCTTTTGCTGTAACTCCCCTAGATTCAGTCTTAGGAGGTTCCTCCTCAGCATCATCTTCCTCTGTGTCATCATAAATACATATTTCTGGTTTAAATGTTTCTTTTGTTTGCCCAATAATAATTGGAATAGTATCAATATCTAAGCTGCCACTACAAATATCAACATAAGATGTCCCTGCATTCCTCATGTAATCCCCTTTAATCTCATCCGTTACATTAGACTCTTCCTGACTATGTGATTTGTAGTCAACATTTTGGTAATTAGCTGCCTCCTTCTGCTGTTCATGACTGTAAATTTCTTGATTTCCTTTTGATCTTTTTAAGCTTTGCTCTTTTTGTTCATCAGTTATATTTTTGCTGTTAGAGCCAGTTTTGTTTAGCTGTACTAACTCTGAATCAACATTATCTTTTTCCTTAAATTTCTCACTATGAGATTCTTGAAGGTGTGGTTTTATGGTATGCTTTTCTGAGACAGACTGAGGTCTCCTCATTGCTGATTCAGCTGAAGATGCTGCACTGTGGGCCATGGTTTGTTGAATGTCGTCAGATGTTTGGGGGCTCTTATGAATACCTGCTGGAAAAGGAGAGGGAGGTTGTACTTTAATGATCGGTTCAACAGACCGTGCTATCTCTGAGGCTTGTTTGAGTTCACTAAACCCAACATCATCCACAGAGAATGTTTCATGTTTGGACGCAACCTCAAACAGTTTGAAGCTGTCATCTCCTGCATCAGACGCTACCAAGGTCTGAGAGGATTCACTATCTTTTCTATTGTCCTTTTTGTCTTTTGCATCTTGCTCCATTTCATCAAAGGTTTTTATTTTGGCAGCCATTTTAAACATCTCTTCCTCTGGAGTAATTTTCCTCTGTGTCAGGCCACACTTCAACTCATCATCTTCTACTGTCTCCTCTGGGATTACTGATGGCTTAAAGGGAACAATCAGGACCATGGGGTCTGGGGTTTTGGGATTGACCTCATCACTTACCTCTTCAGAACTTGGTGTGTCAGGTGAGAGAGGACTCTTACCCGAACTTGTCATCAGGGACGTCTGCTCACAACTGTCATCGTCGGCATTACCCTCCTGTTCTTTGAGCATTCTACTACGCAAACTGTCTGGGGGGATTTCAGGGGCTTTGGAGGATGTCAGGGGCCCTGTGGTCACACTGGGTTGTTCTACTGTAGGTGGAAAAGCCAGGTTGGTTTTCATCTCTATGGGGCTGCTTTCTAAAGAGTCACGACATGGGGATTCTTTTGTTGGACTAGGCTCAATAGAGTCTGGGGTTTTATTGGAAGAGTTGTCTTCCATCAAGGGACTACCCTCTAAAGAGTCCTTGTGGCTAATAGTAAAAGAGTCATCAGCTACTGGACTAAGGTTCTCTGAATCTTGTTGTCTAAGAGGTAGCACTAAACCACCATGATCCTGTGTAGCTGCCCTTGAGGCCAGGGAGTCAGCAGAAGTTGGTATTGATTGACCGTCAAAGGATTCCTCATCGCTCAAAAAACACTCTAGTGTTTCAGATGTTCTTTTTGTCAGTTTACGAGATTTAGATGGCTTGGATGGCACAGAAACAACGTCCTTATCAACAGAAGTTTGTTCACCCTCAAAGTTCACCCCCCTATTTCCATGAGGAATAGACATAGACTCACTTTTTGTTGGTTCATCCACTGCTTTGCTCAATGCTGGATGATGAACTGTAGCTTCAGATGCCTGTTCATTAGTTGTCTTTATCTCAGTAGAAAAGGGAACAGATACTTTACTTGTCTTGACTTTAGGGGTGACTGCTACTGATTTTGAGGTCTTTGCAAGTATAGACTGAGCTGGTTTTTTCGGTGATAATGAGAGGCTCTCGGGGCTTGTTTCTGGAGTCTCAGCCATGCCCTCATGTTTGTAACTTTCTTCAGAACTCAATGGAGCTTCCACTTCAGCAAGGCTGGCATTGGACGAGTCGACCAATGCTTCATGTCTAATGCTGTCAGAGCTGTCATCAAATGCACTGTTCTTTGTACCGTTGTCAGGCAAAAGATCTCTGCGCTGTTCTGACAAATTTTGAGAAATTGTTGTCATGCTTGAGTGAGTAAAAGGACCTGCTGACACTATTCCAGAAACCACAGCCTTACCACTCTTTTCCTGTGGACATTGACGCCTCTTTTGACTTGCTTTTGTATCTTCTTCAATGTCTTCAGATTTTTTTGTGTGTGGACTACTTTTGACTTCTTTTTCTTCGTGGTGATCTTCAGGCTTTAAAACAAGAGACACTTCTTCATGTGAGGGTGCTTGGGGAAGACATTGCGACTTTGTGAGGATAGCCTCTGGTTTAATCACTGTTGTGCCTTCTGTTTTGGAAGGACCTTTGTGCTCAAAGAGCCCAGACTTTCTTTTTGAGGGGTCTTGGCCAGTTTGAAATGCTCTCATTAGTTCTCTTACAGACATGGTTTCTTCTAGGGCTCTCCCAGGCTCAGAGCCTGTTGACCTAGAAGAAGACTGTTTCTGGGGTGAAGAAGTCTGTTTTTTCAGGCCTGATGTTTTCTGATCTTTGACAACAGAAGATGCTTTGGCTTCTGTTGCTTTATATGGAGGTTTTTGGCCTGTTTGTTTTTTCTGACCTTTTTGTTCTTCCTCTACTTTCTTTTGAAGAGCCTTAACTTTCTCTTTAATGGAACCGATTGGTGTCTCCTCAACCACTGGTGAAACAGGAGACTTTTTTTGGTATCCAGGGACGGGTAGAAAGGCATCCCCTTCGGAAGACTTCCCAGTGTTTTCACTAACAATACTTTCAGATGACTGGGTTTCATCTGTGTGTCCTTGAGACCCTTTTCTTCTGATTGGCTTTTTTACGTCTGTTGTATGGGCCTTAGTGTCTTTTGCCACTGTAGGCACTATTTTCCGACCACCTCTGCGCAGAACAACCTCAGTGAACCTTTGCTGTGATGGAGACTCTTGGGATTCAGGCCTAGATGTATCAGGCACATCCAATAAGTATTCCTTAACTTCACCACTGGGAACAGTCTCTATGCCAGGCCTGTCCCTAGCACCCTTTGGTCTCTGTGATCCTCTGTTGACTCGAACTTCCTTTAGAAGTGATTCTTGAGACTCAAAGGCAACCATCATTTTTGCCTCTTCGATTTCACTTTCTGTTAGTAAAACCCACCCCTCATCCTTCCTATATGAACGGCTGTCTGTTTTTGCAGACTCTTCCTTGTCACATGTTCCACTTCTTAGAATTTCACTAACCTTTTCCAAATCTTCTTTGACTTTTTCCATTATTTCAAAAGGCTCTGCTGACACCTCCTCAACCCCATTATCTAAATAATCTCCTTGCATGGGACCTGCTTTCTCTGAGGAATCAGTGGTCAGAATAGCAGTCATTTTGATAAGGTCTTGTTTCATCTCTGACACTTCAGATAGTAAATCTGGACTTGCTAGGGCAGGGGAGTCTCGGATCAATTGTGTTTTCAGGAATGATGTTTCAGTTGTTTCAGTGTCTTCATCATCTTCCATTTGGATGACATTTAAGGAGCAAATTAACCAAAATTTAAATTAAAGGGACAGAGATTGGAAAAGGAGATAAGGGATAAATTCAAGTTTCAAGGACCAGAAGGCATCAAGATGACAAAAAGCTAAGTGGACTGTGGGATAATGAGTGGTGGAGTGTCTACTGGACTCATGGGAGAATAACAACTGCAAAGCAAATACTAACCAAATCTTAAAGACAACAGAAGAATAAGCAGGAAACTTGCTTATTCACATTTGGTTCAACAGCACACTCACACACAAACAAAACGACAAACTAACGCGATAATTAAAAAGGGAGACGAAAATAAGCCAACCCAAACACTTGGACATGTACTGAAAAACAGTGACACAAAGTAGACATTGCTCATGTATAACTCATGACTACAGAAGAAAGAAAGAGAGAGAAAGAGAAAGAGAGAACTCAGAGAATTCAAGAGAGAACTTTATAAAACTGAACTTAGTAAAACTTTTTTTAAAGAAAGCCAGTGATATGCAACTAAAATGGAATAACAGTAAAAAAATAAATATGTTTTTAGAATGTGGAAATAAATGCATTTGAAAAACAACATAAGCAGAATGTTTATCATAACTGAAAGTTTTTTTCTTTTTTATATTAGTAGTGGCAATGATGTGTTAAACAAAGCGCAGTTCTGAAAAATCATTCACACACACAAGACAGCATTCAAAATAATCTAAGTAAGCTGTTATTTCCTTAGTAAACTAACATGTTATTGTGTACTAAGTTCCATATAGTAATAAATCTATATTCTAATTTTTACTTACACCTAAACATTAACCTAATGTATGTACTATACTTATAGGTCACATTGCATAGTGTGGTGATTTGATACTCTCTAAAGCAATAGTAAGCAAACTATACAATGTTAATATCCAACTGATAAAGCCACACATCTAATAAACAAATAAATAATAAATACAAACAAACTGGGCAATGACTAGTTTAAATACAGGTTTATATCATATGCCCACTTCAGTGTTTTGTACATTCTTACAGCATCTAAAGAGAGGGAAGAGTCTTGCTAGTCTGGCTTATTTTAAAAAAAGGCACTAAAAAGGTACTAATGAGAGTGACTCATACAGATTTAGATGGAAATCATAATTTGCTTTGCAGATTGTTATTGTGTAATGAAGGGAATAGGGCACTAAAACAGTTGAAAACAGAAACATCACCACAGTATGAATGAAATTCACATTGTGCATAAAAAGTGATTATTCAAAAACCTCTCCCTCTATCATGATTCATAAACCGATCAGAATGAACTAATACGAAAAAAGAAAGCTACACTCACTAATATCACTTAAAATAAGAAAATGGGGAACCACAGCTGTGCACATTTTTATTTCCCTTATTCAACATACTAGATTCAGATCATGAGCTTGTTAGAAGAGAGCCGAACTGAACTGTGTGAGATAAGACAGACATACAAAACATGTAGAGCAATGGGTCCCCAGAACCAAAAGAATAGTTCACCAAAACTGAAAAATAATCCACAAGTAATCCATGCAACTCCAGCCCATCAATGAATGTCTTGTGAAGTGAATAGCTGCATGTTTGTAATAAATCCCTAATTAAAACGTTTTTGACTTTTGACTTTTTTAACCAACTCTATCCACAATATTGCTTTCTCTAGTGAAAAAGACATCTCGTCTAAATCAGGAGAGAAATACCCAAAGATCAAGCACCGTTTACAAGCAAAAACAGTCCAAAACAATTCTAAACAAATATGTCATTGGATGTGAGAGGACAACAGTGGATGGGCTTTTTCACTGGAGGAAGTGTTATTATAGTTTATGGACTCGTATTTTGACCAGAAGCAATGGTTTAAAGTTGAAATGCCTTAATAAAGGATAGATTTGTTTCTTACATGCATGCAGCTTTTTACTTCACAAGACCTTAAATGATGGACTAGAGTTGATGCAATGCTAAATTTCTCTAAATCTGTTCCGATGGAGAAACAAACTTAATTTACGTCTTGGACGACATGAGGGGGAGAACATTTTTAGGAAATATTCATTTTTGGGTGAACTATTCATTTAAAACCACTGGTCTAAAGAGAGAGAAAGGTTGAGTAGTCAATATAAAATGGGTGCTTTTGTGTATCATATGCGTATATTAATTAACATAGCACAATGCAATTAATTACCACCTAAAGATAGATGTTTGATAAAATGTTTAAAATAACACTACATAATCTTTGGTGCTCTAGCGGTTAATAAATAAAATAATTGCGTCTTGTGAAAGAACATTGTAACCAGAGCTAATTTGCGTACTGGGCTACTCCGTAGTGTCCTGCTCGGTCTAAAATAGTACCAATATAAACATTATAGGTGTACCTTAGCGAGTCAGAAAAAGACAAAAACATGTTTCGGTAGATGTATTCATAATCTACCTGCTCATATAAAGTTTGTAAATTTTGAACAAAAAAGTTACATAAGACTTATAGAAATTTACTGTTAAAATGAGCTTTTTCAATAGCAAAAGGAACCCATTTTATATATTTTATATATACCCTTATGTATATAATTTAATAGTAATTTTTGTTGTGATGTACAAAGGAATGTGAAAGACATGTGGCAATCATTACACTGAAGCTTATATTAACTTTAATTTAACTGAGAAAAGTGTTGTACAACAGGCAAATAGTTAACTCACTCAGACACAAATAATTGTTTTTGGAATGTTAATACCATGCTTTGCAAGTTATTTTACAGTGGTGACATTCTCATTTAGTAAGTTAAGTGGAAAGGTGTCTGGTGCAAGACAACATTTTAATTAAGCTAGACATCTTACATTTCTCAAGTGTTCGGCTTGTCTGTAAAGAAAAACAGGTGAAGAAAATTCAGTTGTATACATGCTATGCATTAACAGACATACATATTTTTAGCTTAAAACTGCCAATTTACTTTCTGATTTCATGCTATTTGACCCCACATAAGCTGTCTGGATGCTGACATTACATCTATCACAGCTGGTACAGCAAACAATATATAGTTATGAGAAAATGTGTGTAAACCCTTTATAATGATCTGTATTTTATGCATTAAGCCATTGCTACTAAAACAAACAATCAACAAAAACAAACAAACAAACAAAAAAATTAAGGAGCCATTCATGATATTCTAAGGGTTTCAAAACATTTTCTCAGTATTAATGTTCACATAACAGCTAATCTCTGTGCACTTACACAATACTACTAGTACTACTATTAAAGCCAGTGGGACTGCAGACTGGAGTTTTAAACTGAGATAATGGAGGAAAGCAAAGGGCATTTTGTTAAGTAAAGTGCAAAATTGCAGTTACCTCCTCATCAGGTTCTTGTTCTGAATCTGATTCCTTTGAGGAGCAAAAAGCAGCAAAAGAGGAAGAGAGCGCCAGAAGATAGAAAGGACAGAAGTACAAGAAAGACAGAAGGGGACAGAGAGAGCAGGCAAAGCATTTATCACAGCAACAGAACATGTCTGAGGCCAGCCAGTGAGGTGTGACAGGGGTTAAGTGCAACAGAAATGCATAAAAGCATTTATCAGTTTTAACCCCAATACATTGCAATATAAAACAAGGTAATAAAATAAAGAAATAGAAGGAAAAGATGGCCCTAATGATGAGGCTTTCCAAATAACCACAGCAATGAGTTGTGTAATAGACTAATTACATTTTGTGGTGCTTCAACTACGTCTGATAAAGTTACTCACATGTTAAAGTTTATATAAAGCTATGTAGATATTGTGGCCTGAAACAATCATATAATGGCAACGTAATACATGCAAAACTGCCATAAAAGCTGACAAAACAAACAATCACAAAAGAAATGGAAATTTCACTGGACAATGCATTTTGCAGCTCTGTAATGTCAGTAATAGCATAGGGCATGAACTTACCTTTGAGTAAGCTGGCAGGGTGATGTTTAAATTGCATATTGCACTATGAGTCAAAGTCCTATAAGATCGTGGCTCTTTTGTGAAGGACAAACGTCCACAAGGCTCTTGAGTGTTGTCTCGTATCTACAAGTGATTCACCAAGTGTGCAGTTAAACCATTGTATGAATCCAATTCTAATTCTTCAGATATATCATAGTTGACTTACTTTGATAAAAAGAGCCAGTCGATTCTCTTTAAAGGCATAGAAGCTGAAGACATGATGCTGACCACTTTTTGTTAGAGGAACCAGGTTTCCAAAACAGTCTACATAGATTGGTTTACCTTCTAATACCTAGAATGCAACATAATAACAGTCTCTTTGTTAAAACGCATTCAAACGTGTGTGTGTGATTGTTAAATAATTTCCTAAATGCTGATGGTAATCAGTTTTGGGGAGAATGTATCATATTCTTTTTATAGAAACCATTACTAAATTATATACTGCAAGAGCGGGACGATCAGGAACCATGTGACTGAGAAAATAACATGTTGATTAATGTGAGGGGAGGAGAACAAAGTTAGGATAGTTACATCCTAAACTAAAGAGAGTGTCTATATAACTGGTCAGAACCAGAACAAGTCATCTACTGTAGCTAGTCTAGTCTAATTTAAACTTTGCCCCAAAGCTTTAGTTTCCCACTCATTTACTAAATGGTTTGTTCAGGTCGGGTCTGTGAAATAGAATGCATTGCTAGAAACTTCTGATTCACTTTTCTAGTCTCTAGAAAGCCATTTTGTAAACTTTATTTCCTTCTATCTTTCAGCTTGTTAGACGTGTGTTAGAACAATTTACATGTATTAGAATGAATAAAATAAATTTTTAATAAAGTACTGTCTTTAAAGAGTATTGTATTTAAAGAGAAGTGTCTTGTGCTCTGTGCTTACAAGTTAATGTCTTAATCTTTTTACCTTACTAATAAATAGTGATTTTACCGTACTATTATTCTAGGTGGTCAACAAAAGTAATATCCTTTCAGTTGATAATTATGGCCAGTTCAACTGATTTCAAGATGATTCATTTGATCAGCTGTAAAACAATACATTTGTTATTATCTCAAATTCTCTTTCATTTAAATTCTCCCTTATACATATGAGACATGCTTGAAGCTGCTGTAAACCAGTACGTGTAAAAAATGGCCAGTCTATTCTGTCAAGTTGCATCAAGTTGCTAAACACTTTACAGCTAATTTTTACAGTTAACACTGCAGCTGTGAAAAACTATGTTGAATTCCAATTCTGAACAAAAATTCCAATTAGTTATGTCAATTAATGTAAGTATTCATGGTAAACTGCTTTTTTTTAGGAACACCTCTTTATATGTGGTAAAAATCACTGCAAACAGTCTAAAAAGGCTTTATATATATATATATGAATATTTAGTTTCTCGGAATGTTAAAAATTATCAGAACCAGCTGATAACTACTTCCCTTCTGGTAATAACTTCCGCCTTCATTTGATGTGGTCTCTCAGCTTGTCGATCACATAAACCAGTCACATTTTTTACAATAATAATGTGGTTAAAAGGTGTGTGTAATTGAAATGACTTCATCAAAATAAAACTCCCAACCAATTACTATTCAAGGCCAATTGGTTGGGAAACACTAGTTCCCTTTCAGTCGGCCACTCTCGATGTCACGTCGGATGACCGACGAAATTGGGATCTCGCTTAGAGAGACCAATCTACTTCGAGTGTAAACTAAACGAGCCAATGCACATTGGCATGCGATTATTGCATCCAGCTGCCGCTGATCACA